TGTGTCTAGTCCTGTGCCTGGAATTTATTAAAATACATGAATACCTTGGGGCACCCAGGTGGGCTAAGTGTCAATTGGTTAAGTGTCCTACTCTTGATTCTGGCTCAGGTCATCATCTCAGGGTCATGAGATGGAGCCCCATATTGGCTCCATGCTGAGCGTGGATTTTCTCTCTCCCTCTCTCTGCCCATCCCCCACCCCCGCCCATGCATAAGCTTTCTCTCTCTCTCTCTAAAACAACAAAAACAAAACAAAACTATGTGCCAAGCACATCTCTTTGGGGCTCAGGCTCTAGAAGAACACGTGACAGAAAATGTCTCTGCTTTCATGGAACTTACAGTCTGTTGAGATAAAAATCAACCATAAACTCAACTAAAGAGCAAGTCATTCCAGGCAATATCGATAAAAGCTCTATAGTAAATAAAGTGAAGCACCATGAAAGAAAGTAACTGGTGTTTATAGAATGCTAATTTTCTTCCTGATTTTCAACTGTATGTGATTGGTATTCCATATATGGAGAAAGAGATAAAGGCTATTGAGAATATGCTTGTCCAATGAGATAAGCAAGTGGCAAAAGATAGAGAATGAGTAAGAACTGCAGTTTAAAACATAAATACGTGGCCCAAATTTTAAATGTCTGTACTGCTCTAAGATGTGCCTTCTTAAATGATCTTTTTTTCTTTTAATTAAATTACTTTCTATAGAACATATGATTCTCTCAGAAATAGAGAACATTACATTGTTCATTGTCATGGAAAGGAAATACAGTTGGGGCTTTATCACTTACATTTGTTGTGGTTGTGCTTTAAAAACAACAACAACAAAACCAACTTCAGAACTTACTGTATTATGTGTGATGAGTTTGATTTTAGTAAAACTAAGAACATTTTGTCACATAATTCAGGCCCCTAACTACACTTTGAGTCCGCAGATTGTGAGTTGGGCTGGGCTCAGAAGTCAGCGTGCTGAGGACAGAATGGGAATAATTAGGTTTTGTATCTAAAACAAAGGATGGATTTATTTATTTTATTATTTTTTTAAAATTTATTTATTCATGAGAGACATAGAGAGAGAGAGAGGCAGAGACACAGGCAGAGGGAGAAGCAGACTCCATGCAGGGAGCCCGACGTGGGACTCAATCCCAGGACTCCAGGATCACACCCTGGGCCAAAGGCAGGCGCCAAACCGCTGCACCACCGGGGATCCCCCAAAGGATGGATTTATATAGAGAGAACCAGTTCTGAGATTTCTGAGACCTATTATCTGGCCCATGAATGATAAATGGAGTCATTTGAGGCACTGCAGATTAACTTTAGAGGGCCAGGAAAAAAGTTTCCTGTTTTCCAATCCCTTCATCTCTTTGCCACTCTAGTCATTTGAAGTGACTTTGAATCCTGTTGCTCTTACTGGACTCTGTTTAACATCCTTCCGACGTCTAAATGGCTTAATTACTGGAATTAAGATTTTGAATAATCAATTAAGAGTATCTTGTTGGAGACAGGATACCCAATTAGGAAGTACTGGAAAGCAGCTACTCTGCTCCCACCATCCTTCATCTCAGTCCTAATGGAATTCTGCTTTTCCCTCTCAAATAACAATACATCTTTTGATCTCTGTTACAGAAGCAAAGATCAAGCTGATCCTCAGAATGAATCTCCTCCTTCCTCTACTTCTTCAAAGATCTAGTTAAGTTTGAGTTGTACTTATTTTTTAAATGTTTTCCAATGCAATTACCAGACACAAAATTACTTCCTTTATTATCATAACACAAAACACCATTTCTTTTTTCTTCTAGTTTTTTTATGTTACATTTTAAATCAATGAGAGTCATGTAAATTTAACTTTTTTCTCTGACAGTTCACAGTAAGAGACTTTCATGGTAATGCCACAAATAGTTGCTTTTTTTTTTTTTTTCTTGTGTAAGAACTCTTACCTCAAACACAAGTCGTTCGGGGCTGTTGGTTCATAATTTACTTTGGAAACATAATGATTTTTATTTCCCTGAACAGCAATTGAGAATGTTTAACAGACTAGATGATGTAGTGGATAAAGCTGTGATCTACTTCTGACCCTGTATTTACTATTTGTTTTCAGCAAGTGAAATCTGAATTCTGAATCCCCAGTTTCATATCTGTAGAACAATATTTGTCCATGGTGCTATTTGGAGGAAGAATCAAATGCGGAAATACCTATGTGCTGTTTTTAAACTGCCAAGGCTGCTACGATTAAGTTTTATTATTACCACGGTGCTAGAAGAAAAACATGAAAGGGCTCATGAAGCATAGCAATAGTTAATCTCACGTTTTAGTGCTTACTTTATGCAGCTACTTGTATTCATTTGAATGCTTTCAAATGTCATTTCGAGAGTTTGAAATGCCCCTGAATGCTGTATCAGTTCTGCTCTAAAAAAATCCAGGAGATGACTACTGAGATTCCAAATATAGAATGAAAGAGCAGCTCAGATCCACCCTTACCTAGCCACACTCCATCAGTCTTGACATATGTATCAGGGTACAGGTTTAAAGACTTCATGAAAATTTACTTCGAGCAATAATGACACAAATGATACACCATCCATGATGTGAATTCAGTGGCAAATGTGTATTAACATTTTGAGATCAGCCTGCAACATATACATTTGCTTTTCACTCATTGTCTCTTCCACCAAACCTACCATGCAGGAAAACCTCTGATACACAAAGCTGTTGGGAATTTGGTCTTTGTGGCTGTGTCATTTGAGAGCTCTTTGAACTCCTGATTAGTTCAGAGATTTTAGGTCTGTAGCAGATTGGAGACCCTCACAAGGCTGAAATCATATTGCGTTTTATTTGGTGGAGTAAGGTGAAACGAAGTGGAGCTGAGTGAGGAAAAGAGGTAGAAAACAGAGCCTAATAGATAATGACACACTGTGATGGTTAATTTTATATGTTATCGTGGTTATGCTATGGTGCCCAATAGTTTGTTCAAGAACTAGTGTAGATGTTACTGTGAATATATTTTTTAGATGTGAATAACATTTAAATTAGTAGGCTTTGAGTAAAGCAGATTACATTCCGTAGTGTGGGTGGGCATCATCCAAACAGTTGAAGGCCTTAAGAGCAAAGACCAGTTTCCTATAGAAGAAGGAATTCAGCCTCAAGACTGTGCCATAGAAACCTTGCCTGAATTTCTCATTTGCCTGTGCAATTTGGGCTCAAGACTATAACATCAATTCTTACCTGAATTTCTAGCCTGCAAGCTTGCCCTATAGATTTGAGACTTGCCAGACTCCACAAATGTGTGAGCCCATTTCCTCTTTTGAAATAAAGATTTTATTGATTGATTGACTGAGAGCATGCAGGAGAAGGGGCAGAGGGAGAAGATAACAAGTTTCTAGATAAAAGTTGTGGTTGTTTTTCCCTCCAAATTCTAATCTTCTCTTAAGGATAATACTTTCCTCTTAAGTAATAGCCATTTACAGATTTTCTTAAAATCCATTCATGTGCTTTGGAAAGAAATCTAAAATTTGCGGTCTATAAAGAACTATTAATGCTATAAAATTGGTGTTCATTCTGAGGCACCATTTTTTTTTTAAGGAAAATATTAGACGGGAACTAACATTTATGAGATTGGTACAGAGTTGTTTGAAAAAATTAAGAGGTTGATCACTATGGATGTAGTCTGCATGTTTGCACACAATCCAATCAAGAATAAGCTGACCCAATTATCTAGACATAACTGTGCCAGTCTCTTTGGGTGCAGAAGCCTGTGTTCTCCTAAGAGAGACAAAGCTAAAACATACTACACATTTATACCAATATTTTTGGGTTCACAAAACTTTTTGCTCAGATCTATAAATGAAATAATAAAGCAAAAAGTATTAAAAAAAAAAAAAAAAGAGTTGAGCTGCTTGTTCAAGGCTGTGGAGTGACCAGAGCAAGGCTCCACTGGTTTGCTTAAATTTCCCACTGCTCTAGCCCTGCTCTTGTAGGTGCCATGGAGAACCATCTGAGAACCATTCAGAACTCACATTTTCTATTTCCTCATATTCTAGAACCCGTGGATTACATATGTGTTATCCATAAAAAGCATTTGAGGCTGGACCTAGAATTGCTGAAAAGATATACATATATACATAGACAAAAGAGTAAAATTGAAATTTCAATTTCAGAAAATGTAACATTAAAAAAAGAAACCGGCATTAAAGACCACATGTCACAAAAATCACAGGAAAATGATTATAAGGCTACAGAAATTCACAAGAGAAAATGCCAACATGACTGAACAAATCAAGACAGACTTTGTTGGGAAGCTGACTCTATAGGTTGGACTTGGATGGGAAGAGGACAAGAAGGGAACTGTCTAGGGGTAGCAAGAGCATGAGCACAAGTGCTAGAGCAGAAATGACAAACTGAGAAATTAGGAAACTTGAGAATTTTCCACATCTTTGAGTCCTGACTTCTTTTTGCTTAATACCTTCTTCAACTCATTTCTCTCTTCCTGAATTTTAGTATAAGCAGTCAGGAGGAAACAAGCTCCTTTAAAACTTTCTTGAGCAGTCTACTCAGATAAATATCTGATTTTATTGTTTCCAAGTTCAAACTTCCACAAAATACTAGAACACTCATTAAGCCAAGTTTCTGCCATTTTATGACAAGGTTCTCCTTTTTTATGGTTTCCAATAACATGTTCCTTATTTCCATTCTGAGATCTCACAGAAAGATCTTCAACATCCATATTTCGAACAATCTGTTTCTGATTAGTTATGTATTCTCTAAGAAGATAGAATCTATCTCTGAAGCTCTTGCTTTTATTTCTGAATGCTTACCAGAATCGCCTTCAACATCTATTATTTCTACCAATAGTTCCTTCACAGCAATGTGGGCTTTTCCCATCATGGCCCTCCAAACTTCTACAGCCTTCCCCCTTACCCAGTTCTAAAGCTGCTTTGGCATTTTTAGGTATTTGTCACAGTAGGACCTACTTCTTGGTACCAAAATCAGAGGGGAAAACAAATGAAATGATCTTCTTAAAGATTTTTATTTAATTAAGAGGGTGCGCATGAGTGAGAGAGAGCAGTGAAGGAGACAGAGAGAAGGGATCTCAAGCAGACAAAAAAGTATGTAATAAGATAGATATGGTAGGCATTGAAGATAGAGGAGATATTTTGTGGGAAGATATCCTCAATATGAATATATGGGAGCAAGGAAAAAACTTTAAATGGAAATAGCTGGGTCTTGGAAGGGGTTCATTTTTCATTCATTGGAAAAATAAAAAGAAGTGTCAAGTGTCATATGGAGATTCCAGTCGTCAGTGACTTAGTAAACTGTAGACATGTAGGTGGATGGACCCATGCCAGATGGGGACTTGGTATCATTCTGCAGTTGTACCTTTTGGGAAATTACTGTCACTCTCACTGCTTGGATTCACAGGTGGTTTTTCTGTCACTGGGGAAATAAAAAACAAACATTTGTCTTATATCAGAGTAGTCTCAGACATGACACTAGACTCATCTTAATTCCAGATGACATGGATTACACTAAAGAAAAAATGAAGACATGTCAAAACTATGGAGGGACTAATGATATTGCCTCTAGGTTCTGAATCTAAACTCTGTTTTACAAAATGGCATGTTGCCAGTTAGCTACAATTAGTTAGGCTCCAATAGTACTCGCAGTAGTCTCAGGGGAACTTCTCCTAGTTCTATTAATTGCTTTTTTAGAAATGCGTTTTACATCCTTTATCTTATTGAATCTTGACAACATTTCTAAGATTTAGACATTATTTTAATCCACATTTTAGGCATGAATAAAGTGATACTGAGCTAGAGTAATTGGCCAAAGGTCATATAGCTGATAAATGGAGACACTGGAGTTTGTACTCTGGGGGAGGTTGTTTGACATCAAGTCAAGTCCTTTTCTCTCAGTGATGCTGGTTCTTTTCAACTCATTTTACAGAGCACGCGAATCCAGTGTTGGCTCTAGAGCCACTGAATAAAAAGAAGAGGGAGGAGAATTAAAAGCTTTATGCTCTGGTTTCAACCAGTGCACATTTATATATTACAAATATAATTAAATAATTGCATATTATATGCTTAACTACCTATATAATGTTATGTATATGTGGCATCCATTTAAAATTTTGTTAGAAAAAAATTCCCAAACCCTGTATCATACATGCTATCTCCTAATACTGTTAGAAACTGCTTGAAGTTTCTATGCTTCCTTGGGTCTCCAACAGTGTGCAACCTCCCTTGACCTGTGAGCCAGCCTTCAGAAGAAGGAGCAGCTGGGAATCATTGCCCTGGGGATGCTCTGGGCTCCAGAACAGGGCTAAGTATCTGCCAGACCCACAGCAACCTTGCTGTCTCCATCTGGCTAAAGCCACTTAAATTATTCACAATACCTGCAGCCTTCTCATTGTTATCACAACTCATTGAATTCTCTCCCAAGAGAGAAGTGATGTCTTCTCCAAATATCTTGAGGCAATTTTCAATCAAAAAGTGTACAAGAGACACCTGTAATGAAAAAGGCAACAATGGGGTGCTCTTTTTCATAGGACATAGCTATAAGTCACATTTTGTTTATAAATCTTGGATCTAACCATTAATGTGAAAGACTTCTAAGAAGAATTCAGAGTTGATAAACATATATAGAAACCAGAGTCCTCTAAGAAAAATAACATAGAGTGATACTTTCCGGTGTACTTTGGGTACGGATTTGAAATACTACTAGTCAGTGGGCTAAAGTTCTCATCTGTGGCCTAGTTTTATAACTTACATTGTGATATCAATGGTTATATTTTTAAAACTAGGATAGTTTTCAAATAACCTAATTTATTAAAATCTACTAATTTTTTAAAATTTTGTTTCCAGTACAATTGGGTTGTAACTTTTGTATAATATCTTATTAAAATGTATAAAGCATAGACAAAAACTTATGAAATACATTTTTTTTATTTTTTTATTTATGATAGTCACACACAGAGAGAGAGAGAGAGAGGCAGAGACACAGGCAGAGGGAGAAGCAGGCTCCATGCACCGGGAGCCCGACGTGGGATTCGATCCCGGGTCTCCAGGATCGCGCCCTGGGCCAAAGGCAGGCACCAAACCGCTGTGCCACCCAGGGATCCCTGAAACACATTTCTTAAATGAGGAAATATCTTAGTTGGAAAGTGGAGATTCCTGTGTGTGTGTGTGTGTGTGTGTGTGTGTGTGTGTTTAAGGAAAAACACGGCTGGAGAGAAAACATGTCTGTCTGTCCTTCTGCAGTGCAGTCCCTTCTCATGTCTTGCTTTGCCTAATGCTAGCTCTCAATATGACTGTGGGGAAATTCTATCATCTTACTAGGCATGTGTGGTTCCATTAGGATGTCCTGGAATACTCTAGTTTCTGTCTGATGTAGCAGAGGCAAAACAGTAGCCAACAATTTTTCTAAATGAGCCACAACTTACAGAGGAAGGCCAATGTGTTTGGAGCCATTGGTGCTCATAGTGCCCAAGCCACCTAGGATGTGCCAGTAATGACCAGAGGAGCTAGGTGTTGTTACCATTGTGTCATGAGGAAGCCATGGCTTTGCCCAAGGTTACAAGCTCCCTGCTCAAGGATCAGGCTGAATTGATCCTTGGCTTGTCAAATTCCAGAGCCAAAGTTCTTTTCTATCATATTACACCACTCTTCTCTCTCTTTTGTTTAGTCAGTCTAGTATTGTATCTCCTGGATGGAAAAGAAGCGACTCAACTGCTCTGCGTTTCCCACTTTAACAACACCCCTTCCCATATTAAACCAGAGTAGGATAACGAAATCTGCCATTCCAAGGAAGCCTATGAAGATGTGCACTTTTCAGAACTGATCCATCTGATTTACTACTAAACTTTTCAGATTCAAAGCATGGATTCTAAACCCCAGAGGACACAAATGAGAGCTCTCTACCTTTTTTATGAAGATGTCTTCCCATTCCAAGCTGCAGGAATTAGATGGACAAAGAATGCTTCGAGCTATACACACTGATAAATTATAAGCTGTCATCTGATTGGATGAGGATTGTTGCTCAATGTTGTATAACACTCCAAAAAGGTATCACAGGAGAACAACATTTGCTTTTGGCAGCTGGGCTAGAAGCCTAAAGTCAGAAAGATGCACTTTTGAATAAGGCAAGTCATTGCACTTAGGAAGCTGGAAGCATAGAGACGGGGAACAGAGAACATCTTTCTAGATCTAGTACACAACCCACTGTAGCAGAGTTCCAGGCACGAATGTATACAAAAAAATGTTTCACCGAATTCAATTTCTGAGCTAACCCTCTCTGGTTAAATATTTGACAAGCTTAAGGTTATACTACTGGCTGTTGATGCTCTAGCATCTCTCTTAGGACACTGAATTTTGTCTATCAGTTTTATATATTCAGATTGTGTACAATGGCTAAGGATTCCACATTAATAAGGTCAGGAGAAGAGCAATAATAGCCATAAGGCATGCATGTATTCTGAAACTGGCCTCCATGGGTGTGAAGAATTGAAATTCTTTGGCATTGATCATTATTTTGGTGGAAAAAGTGGCAAAATGTAAGCCAATATATACTTAATAGTATATTGGCTGTATTTCTGAGACATGACCAGAATAGAGTAATTATTGCATCATTACCTCTGGGCTGCATTTATTTTCTCCTCCTTGGTCCCTTCATTAATAACACCAAGCCATTTGTCATAGAGGTCGCAGGAAAATATACCTCCTGGGATGTTTCGAAGAAAATCCTTATGAAGATAAAAAATATATATATACACACACACATATATATAATAGCATATATATATTGGAAATATTACAGAGAAAACACTTAGTAGAAAACTTCAGTTCAGTCCTTACTTCCTTCATAGATACCCAAACTGTGACCAACATGGAACTCAGCTCTGACTCTTTATTGCACATGCAAAAGCAGGTGTGTGGATTTTTTCCAACAAAAAAATGAAATCATCAAAGCAGAGCCTAGTTTTAAGTGGAAAGGAAGACAAAGCTCCCTTCTATCATGTGGCACTTTTTTGTGTGCTTTTTTGCAAACTACTACAAAAGTTACTCTCTTAATTGTTTCAATCTTCCTTTCCTTAACTGTACAAAAGTAGACAGTCTAATGGCAAACTCGTGATGGTCCTGAGGATATATTCATTTGTAGTGTAGGCCAATTCTCCAGATAGCTTGACATGATACTATTCAGGTCAAGGTTGCAAAGTCTGATTCTCCTCAAAGATTAGTCAACTTTACGAAGGGAAAACTTTTGAAATGTCTAAGAACTCTATGCACACGTGGTCACCATCTTCCTAGTCCGTGCTTATAACACGGAAATAGAAAAGACCCTACTAAGTCTTGCTAGAAACATCAATTCCATGTGTGCACCTTATGGAGGGCAACACTTATCATGCTATCCGAGTACCTAATGTATCATCATTCTTTCCCCTGTCTCTTGATGCCTATTTATTTATTTACTGGTGTGTTTTACTGTAGCCCAGTATAGTAGTGGTTAGGGACTATTGCTATTTATCATATAGTTGAACAGTAATGGGGTACAAGGAAAGATCAAATGTGAGAAGGAAGGACCAAATATGACCTTGATTCTAAGAGTGTCATCATTACTGCATTATCATAGTTTTGTTCAGAGCTGTTAGCAAGTGCCAAGGTAGATGGATTAAATTCTTTGTTCTAGTTCTCACTTGTTTCTCCATTTCTCTTTTAGGAATAGAACTGGATATCTGTCATTTAGCTGTATAATTTAAAAATTAATCTATTTCTTGAGTCAATCTATTGAGTTTTCAGAATTCCAAACTACTTTTGTCTGTTGCACCTACTTCAAAAGTTGTATTTATCAAAGGCATGTAGCAAGAGCTGGTTGCCATGTCGTTATAACCTTGGATGGTGGGCTAGAAATCACAAATGTTAACAAAGGGATGCCTAGGATGTGGTGAAAGGAGGCACAAATGGTGAAGTCCTTCCACCATGACTTATAAAGTAAAAGGCATTAAGAGGCAGGAGACAAGGATGCTTAAGAATGATTGGTTATCTCACTGAGCCTTTTTGGATTCCTCATAAAGTAAACATTTGCTTACTATTGTAAACTTCTATACCTATTTTCAAATGTTTCATATGATTTTTCTTTTGTAAACTGCCTTCATTAGGAGGGTGGTGAGGAAGTCATCAAAAGCAGGATGTTTGCTTTGGTAAACATTATGTATGTGCCAGTGGATATTTTGAAATTTATTATTACTAGTAGTCATACTAGTATTAGTATTTTGCAGGGAGTCTTCAGGTGGGCAGTGTGTGGTGAAAACAGAAAGTATTTCTAATGTATGGGACTTTTAACTCCTACAGTAGCCTCCTTAAATTTTGATTTCATGAAGTGTTTTCCAGTGTGTCAAGGTCTTAATCAGTTATGCCTGTGATGCTCCTTGGGCAATCATAATGAAAGACACCAATCAGCCTCAGTTACTCATGTGTGGATAAAGCTAGAACTTTCCCCACCTTTAAAACAGATGCTACCACAAGAACAGATTCGCTGTCCAAGTTCACTCTGTCCTCAAAACTTAGTTTCTCCTTCAGAATTCTGCGTGATACTCTACTTCCTGATATTCTGAAGATGCCTTCCATGAGTGGTCCTTTCCTATTGATAAAGGAGAGCATATCCTGTAGGGAAAAAAAGTAGAGTATATGGCATTTCATATCCCAAGCTCAGAGCAAAAGCTTGCTTCCTTTTTGAAAGACCTAGGGAATGTGATGGTGTACGGTTTTAGAGCTGGAAGGACTGAAGTCAATTTAGATTCTTTAGTTAATGTCTCTCTATTGTTTCTACCCAAAAATCCACCTTACTTCATACACTGAAACATTGTAATCACGTATTTAATCAGATCAGATTTTTTCATTGAATTTACCCTTTTAAGTCAAACTTCCCTGTTTCAAGGCCTTTGTGGAATCCTCACCTGCCTCCTACTTTACCAGTCTTTTCTCCTTATTCCCTTACATAGATGCTCTTCCCCCAAGTATGGAATACTTTTTGCCATACTCATTTCCCATTTGTTGATTCTTCTTTAAGTGATTGCATCATCCATTCCTACTATCTCTATTTCCTTTCCCCTATTAAAATCAAGCTCAAATGCTCTCTTCTTATTCTCCAATTACATTCCCTTCATGAGTCTTTCACTGTCCTTTGCTCTATCTTCATGTCCTTGCCCTGCAGTGTAGAAAGATAATAAAGGCTGGAGTCAGAAAGACCAAGGGATCGGAAACCTATTATGCTTTTGATCTATTGTGTGATTTGGCACACATACAAACTGTCGTGAAACCTTTCTACTTCATTTGTAAAGTGTGGAGGATGATAGTGCTAGCTACCCCCTAAAACTGCTGTGATGCAAGGACTGGGGTAGTAGCTAGCATGTAACTAACGTGGCAAATTTCTTCACACCTAGCATAACATTCCCAAATCTAGTGCAGTGCTTGCAGAGGTCCTGGGTACTCAGCAAATTTCCACACTGACAATTCAGTACACCGATTTGAGATAACACAGGCCTAACTCTGTGGCTGTCATTTAACATATTCTGTTAGGATTAATGGATTCATATTTGATGCAGGATGAGTCTTTATGCTTAGGTAAGATGTTTTCAGTTGTTAGATTAAGTAGACTCAGTTGAAGGAGACCTGAGACTACTGTCAGTTCAGGAAGACAATGGCAGAATGTGAAGATGATTCATGCACACAGAGTCCATTTTGACTGATCTGAACAGGCCTACAAGGGTCTCTGTGGAAACAAGTGGAATGGACAAAACGTTGTCCTGTCGTATTGGCCTCATGACTCTGCAGTAGCTAAATCAAATGACACCACCAAAGCTTCTCAGCCACAGCCAGGGGCTGTCTAATGCTTTCTCCATTTGGGGTAGGTTTCCATGGGAACACATAGCCTCTCCGTGTTCCCCCTCCTCAGGAAGGCAATAAAAGACCAAATTGAGACCAACCAGAATTGGGACGGGCAAGTTGTCATTCTCACAGATATCTGTGAGGGAAACTCCAAAGAGCTGTCTGGGTTTTGCAGAAGGAACAGCTGTGCACTGGTTGTTCTGGCAAGTGCCAGCGCGCCGCCAAAAGGCCAAGTTTCCGAAAGCACTGCTTTTTGTGGTCTTCTGGCCTGAATCTAAAGAAGAAGGGAGATCAGTGTATTTTAATTCACTTAGCCTTATTTTCACCATTGCCATCATACAGCGTGTTCATTGTAGTGGCTGGAAGAGGGAAAGGGAGTCATTTGTTGTGTACAACACTCCACGTTCTGATTTTAGCTAATAGCATCCTCATGGTGTTGATGAGTTCTTGCCCATGTCCTTCAGACTGATGGTTAAACCTAGAGACTTGATCAGACTCAAGGTCAGTATTTCCTGTGCCATCAGTTACTGTCTGTTACACTGCATCAGGAGGCACTGAACCTATAGATGTTTGTTTTCTACTGGTGTGATCATTGGGTTCAGGTGTCAGATCTGATTTTAAAAGCTAGAAGGATTTGGTATTCAAATCAAACTGAGTGTGGTAATCCTCTACTTCCACAGCCAGTCTCCCCTCAGCTTCAGATTTCCTCTTTGGCTTTCTGAGTGCTCAAGCTTCTACCATCCAAAGGATCTGTCTCTAAGGACACAAGCTCCCTGACCCCTACTTCTCTGGTTCCTCTGCTCTGACCCATCTCCAAGAATGACTTTCTGCAGTCAGGGTCCTTGGGAAGTAGTCATTACATGCTGGCTATGTGGTGATGTGGTGGGTGTGTTCTCTTGTCATACCCCACCAACCCACCCAAAGATGATGTTTTCGGTTAAATAGGTTTAACATTTACTGAAAAGAGCCTAAACCACAATGAAGTGTGGAAACACACTTCCTCACACACACACTCAAACATACATGTATATATACACCTACACACAAGTACAAGGCTTGAAAGAAAACATAGAAAAACAATGAGAGGTTATGAATGCATTTATTTACCACCACTTTTCAGAGGTGATTTTTAATGAGTCAACATTCCCTATCAAAGGAAGAGCTTTCCAAAGAAGAGGTGATCAGCAGTGAAAAGCTGAGTTCAAAGTTTCTACTGCTCAGCTGTGAATGTTTCCCTTTGAAGATACCTTGCTTAAATTATCTGCTTAAATAACTGAATTCTTTAAGAGTCAACAGATGAGCCAGGCTGTTGAAGGATAAACAGATGAGCAACATTTCACTAAATAACCTTAAACACCTGGACACTTGGCTTTTCTGGGAAGTAGTGAGTGCATTACCACCTCCACTCATGTGGGTGCCAGCACTGTACCAGAAGCATCCTGGTTCTGCCACTTAGGAAGCTCAACATTCTAAAGCTTCAGTTTGCTAAACTTTAATATAAATGATTCTGCCTACAACTCAATCAACTAAATATATAATATACTACTCAGCAGAAGGCATGGCTCAGGGCAGCCTTGAAAGTGCTCTGGGGATATAGGGAAAGAAAGGAGTAATGGTCTACCTAGAAGATTTAAAATAAGCAAACAACCTTCATAGAAAGGAGTTGAGTCTTGATGTCAGATTTTTGAGTTTTTCTAAGCTTGATTTTGGGTAGTTTTTGCGTTCTTGCCTATACTGTTCCTCCTCATCGATGACAATAAGCTCACCCAGAAAGAATAAACTGTGTGTCTGAATTGTGTTTAAGCATGGAGACATGAGCCAAGGGAAGGCACTTGAAGAAAGGCAAGTGGCTCACCTTTCCCTTGCTTGTTCTGGGCTGGGTGCCTGGGCTTCAGCATGAACTGAATTTGCATCTCTGTGATCTTCTGCTCCAGTAGGGACTCTTGAGTTGTGGAAGGAGAGATGGAGTCCTCTGGTTCCTTTGGTAGCAGTTTAGTAGATGGAAGATGGCTCATTTTAATTCCATAGGGATGTTCGTGTCCTGTATGGAAAAATATCTGAATATTCAGGCTGATGATGATGGCTGTCATCAAACCTACCTTACCATGAGAGTAAGCATCACCCTGTTATATGTTGCTATTTTTCTGGGACTTCTAGATAAGGAAGGCTGTGCCTCCTGAGTGAGCATCATATGCACCCTTGTCGGGCACACCCTACAGAAAGCGTGTGCCCAAGGGAAAGATTTTAAGAAGAGAAAAAAAGTTAAAACATGTTACTTTGCTTGGAATACATATATTCATGAATGCATTAAACAATGCTGACTTTTGCTGTGTTTCTATCTGAGAATGTTTAAGGTTTTCTAGTTTGTGCCTTGACACTAACTAGATCTATACATCTTAGGCAAATTACTTGACCCTGTCGAGCCTTACATTCATTCTTTGAAATGCTTGTCCACACACAAACTTATCAGAGTGAATATATTAATAAGCATTGGTGGTTAATATGTTTTATTTTTTATTTATTTTTATTTTTTGGTTAATATTTTAAAAAAAATATTTGGAATATATATATTAAGAATTCCTATCTTCACTATTCTCTCCCACATAATGTCAGTTGAACAGATTTTTTTTTTCATTTCCTTTTGTCAATTCTTGAGCCAGAGCTACTGTAGAGTAGTAGGATGGGTTGCCCTTATGCTTTATGGTTCCCTCCCACTGCTGCCCTCCCTCCAAGGGGTGTCTGACCAGGCAATGATCAGAAGGAAGGCTGTGCAAAGTTGGAAACCCAGAAGCTATATGTAAAACGATGGTTAGAGAATAGAAAACCACACCCAGAGCCATCCAGAATTGCCTGCCAAGTGATTTATTTTGCTCTTTAATGCTTCAAAATGTTTTTCCTCTCTAGAGAATTCTCAAAGACCCTATGCTATGATATGAATTTCATTTTTTAAGAATAGAATGAAAATTCTCATTCTGTCATTTCTGATTAATTATTGAATGTACCTAAGGGAGCTTTTGCTGTTCTTTTCATCTGTCATAAATGCTATGTTCACAAGAATCACAGGGACTTCCCTCTATTAGGGAAAAAGAAGCTTCTACAATAGCAATACAACCAAACCAAGATAACCAAAAGTTAATCCACAATTGAGAATTGAGAGTATGTTAAAAAAAAATGCATTTTGAATGCTGCTAATGGATCATCATGAATGACAGGCTCTTCGGATTCCTTAGAGCTGCTTCCATGTATGAAGCTATTCAAAGTCTAAAAAGTTATCATCTATATCGTTTTATCTAAATTAATGCACTTTATTAAAAATATATAAGTAATTAGCTTTTTTCCTTTTTACTGCTAACCAACTTTTTTTTTGTTTTATTTATTTATTCATGAGAAACACGGAGAAAGAAAGAGGCAGAGACACAGGCAGAGGGAGAAGCAGGCTCCATGCAGGAGCCCGATGTGGGAGTGGATCCCAGCTCTCCAGGATCACACCCTGGGCTGAAGGCAGCGCTAAACCGCTGAGCCACCAGGGCTGCCCCTGTCCAACTTTTACAAAGATGTCAACATTAATTCAAAACAGGAAGTGGTATTGGGGGATTTTGTTCTCAGTGATGCGCTTTGTGACTCTATAGTCTAAGACTGGGAATATATATTTTGCAGAAAGAAATTGTTTTTTTTTTTTTTTTTAAGAAATTGGTTGTTTAGATTTCCAGATTATTTGAAAAAGAGTTATAGCTTCACAGGTTTATTAAAAGGATAAAAAAATTCATGTAAGAAAGAATGCTTTAAGGTTTCTAGAAGACATTATTGTCACCATGACCATCCATTACTATACTTCAAGGTCTGCTTCCGATCCTGTCTTCTTTTTCTTTTTTAAAAATCCTTCCATTACTGGAAACACTAAACAATTTTGCTAATCCAAACATTTTTTTTTTCGGAGAACTTGTGCTAATAACTATTTTAGAAGAGGTGCAATCTGTTTATCAATAACCTTAAGAACAGCGATGGAAAAAACCTGAGAAACAGCAAAGTGCAGGCAATTTCATCAGTGAAGACTAGAGGAGTTTAAATGTGATTATCTCATTTTCCTTATGATGCAGAGAAAACTGGGCACAGGGCAAGGGTGTTAAATACATATCTATACATGGATTCAGAGACATAACTGGATTTTAGAGGATTCTCACAAAATAGAGGCTTCTTAGTAGTTAGGAACTAGAATTCAAGATTGAAATATGAAAAATAAATGTATGGGAAAAATTCCAAACCATTTTGCTTTCATACCTAAGTGAGTAAATAAGTAAGTAAATAATAAATAATCACACTTTTTCAAGACAGCTCTGTTTGTCAGGTAAAAAGAAGTAGAAACAAAAATTTACATTTCTCTCCCTCACTAGATGATAGCTGCTGAATGAAGAGATGTTATCAATGCCTGGGAAATAGTACCTGGTAATTATTTAATAAAATGTGAGTGAATATTGCATGTGATTTTCACTTTTAAGGATTTTGAAGCTTAAGAAAGAACAACCATTACTTTGAAACTTAGAGTTACAATTTTGAACCTAATCAATTCAATCTTAGATTTTCCCTGACACTTACCAATTAGTGGAACTTCTTCCTTGCCAGAACTCGCCCACAGCTGGTAGTCTTTCTCAGAGCCCTTGGAAACAAAAAGAACTAGGTGTCAAAACAAATCTTTCACAGTACTTGAAGAACACATTTCCTTAGCATATCTGTGTTTCCAAAAAGAAAGAATTGGGGCCAGTATAAATGTTATTTGGTCCATGGAGGTAGCTATAGTACTTGTTAACTAGTTCCCCTCACAGCTTCCAGTAGACTGTCCCAGATTTTTGTCATTTTTGATAAAGACCGGGAAACCACAGTACAGCTAGCCCCCCACTTTGTGGGTGGCCCATGGCATAAGAAATGAGATTTGTGCCCCTTTACTAAGGAGGAAAAGTCTCATCTCAGAGTCCTCTCTTCTGCTGTCTCTAGACTCCTTGGATAGTGTTGGCTTTTGTCTCCAAATGTCCCTGCCCAGACATGCATGTTGTCCAGAGAGTCATATACTCTGCTATGACTATTCCTGAGCAAAGTAACTTGAGAGGCATCAATAGCTCAGCAGCCCTGAGCAAAAGGAGACAAATGCCCAAGAGACCTTGAGGAGATAGTGGACGGAAGTCAGCCACTGCCTTTGGTGCAGGGTAGCCCCACTTTAGGGAGAGAAAGGATGAGGAGTCTAGACAACATGTCAGATGCAGAAAACGATTACTCCCAGCAGAATTATTGCCCAGTAATACTGGAAATCCCAATTGTTTGAAACGAACAATTCTAATTTATAAAGATTGCTGAACTATTTTAAAGAGTCTTCCAGGAGACTAAAGCAAAAAATGTTTGAAATGGAATTATTGGTAATAGTTACCATGCTTGCCTTGACTGTTGATTAAAAATCATGGCCTTCACCTTATGAAGGAATGTCATAGGTATGGGAACAGACACAGATACACACAGACACACACACACAGACACACACACACACACAGCTAAATGTGCTCAAAATTGTGTTGCAAATAAGTAAGAGCTAATAAGGTAGGGTAGGGTTTGGAAATGCTATGCTGGAATCCCTTAAATCAGGTATACATAAAATCAAATAACCCCAGTTCCTCATTAAAATAGAAATTCTTTGCCTAGTGACATTGATCACTTTAAGCAAAGAAAATCACAAACATGAAATAATATGAGTTATATCACTAATCAGCCTCCCCAGTTTCATCCCTCAAACCACTCACTCTCTTTTCCAGGATTTAATTCTTACTTAGGGTTTATAGATCATACAGATTAAAAAAGTATGTAGAGATGTGCTTTAGTCAGTACATAGAAATTCAATTTTATATTGGATGTATTATTAAATGTTGTTTGTACAGAAATCATTGATTTCTTCTGCCAAATTCTAGTTGCTCTGAAATTTTAAAGGGCTTTATTATACCATTGGGTCAGATAGAATTTACAAACAATCTTATGATTATGTCATGTCACATTTACAGAGGATTTTAGATAAGAATCCGTACTTTCCAAGCGCTCCCTTTGTTTCTCTCCATCTATCACGGTCCCTCTTTTTTCCCTTATAAAACCTCATCCTCAAATATATTTCTCTTTCATAAAAAGATATCAGCAACTCACACCAGCACCATCAAAACGTAAAGGAGAACAGACAGTTAAAACCAAAACAAGATGAAAGTGATATGTACAAATGCCCGAGATCCATGGTCTTATTCAGAACTTGTCTTTGTCTTTACCAGTTCATAAAGGATATGAGCTGCCTCATCCTCAGGATCTGAATCAAAAGGAGGTAGCTTGTAGCCATGGGGTCTTTATGTCAAAATGTACAACAGAACATGTAATTTAGGATTCATTAAATGGATTGAGTCCTTCCTTGTGTGATAACTAGGGCCAATAGGGATGGGGATGTTTCAGAATTGAAGGCACAGAAAGGGGATCCCTGGGTGGCGCAGCGGTTTAGCGCCTGCCTTTGGCCCAGGGTGTGATCCTAGAGACCCGGGATTGAATCCCACGTCGGGCTGCTGGTGCATGGAGCCTGCTTCTCCCTCTGCCTGTGTCTCTGCCTCTCTCTCTCTCTGTGTGTGATTATCATAAATAAATAAAAAATAAAAAATTAAAAAATTAAAAAAAAGAACACAGAAAGAAGAGTCCAATAGAGGAGGAAATATTTAGAAATTTAGAAACATTTTATTTTCTGTGTTTAAAAATATATACAATAAACTGCATGTTGTTATTTGTACTCTAAAATTATAGCCTAATTTTAGGCTATGACTTTGAATTTGCTGAAAGTTTAAAATGGGAATATAAGAATAGCACTCATGTATAAGCTAATACTATAGCTTTGCTGCCTTTAATTTCTAAATTTTGAAGGACAAAATATGATTATGTTATCTATAATAATCAGCTGTCTTATGATGGGAGGTGCACAACACACACATACACACACAAACACAAATCTCAAAAATCAAAGTTTAAAGTTGGTTCTTAAACTAAAAATAGTTTGTAGGCAACTTACAGTTATTCTCAGCATTGGTAGTAACATGTTGATGGTGTCATTTGCTGTGTCTGAATTTGTCACTGTTACAGTTATGGGCTGTAAAAAATAAATAAGAAAAATTGCTACAAATTTTTTTAAATTTAAAGCATGTGACCGAATAATTGTTGTCAAATTATTACCCATACTCCAAGGTGAAGCTTGTTTTCAGGTAAGGACAAAGTAAAGCATGTGTAGAACACAAACCCTTAATTATATTTTCATTTTTTTATATAAAATGAAGCTAGTAGGAAATATGTCAGTAAAACATATATTTCCCTCCAAGAATTTGTGGCATACAAAATATAGCAACTTAAGCAAGGAAGAGAAAAACTGAGAATTCCAAGAGGGCACATGGGGTGACCCTCAGCTCCATAAGGCTATTTCCAAAATGGAGGGAGGGGGTAGTATTAAAGGAAGGCACTAGATACTTTTCTGTCTTACTGAGTTGTGTTTTTATAGTATGGCTTAGTTCCTTTGTAATTACATAGTTTCAGTAAAATCAGAGTAAGAACTGGCTATGAAACACTTTTTAAAAACTACTATTTAGTCCATATTTTCTTTGTGTCAGGAATCATGGTTAACTAAGACTTCCATTCTTGAAATCTGTTAAGACAAATAAAACCAATGAGTCTAGGAAATGAGACTGGAAATGTTAGAAGTTTATGTTCCGTTCACAACTCTGCCAGCGAGTAGTTACTTATACTAGCTCTCTATCAGACCATACATTGAGAAACTGCTCCATACAACTAGGAAAACTTTACAGAAAATTTTTTGAAAGGGGTTAATAGGAATCTGAGATAGATCTATGAAACTATCTGAATTACAAAAGTCATTTTAAAATAAGAGAATATGTAACCAGAACATTTACTATGCATACAGTTTTTATAACATTTTTAGGCAATGGGGCCTGTGTCCTTGGGAAACAGTGCATAAAGAAGACCCAAACAGCACAAGTGGACATCCACAGGCCTTGAAAATATTAAAAACAAAGTTAAAAGAAACTCTTTCATAATTCATTCCTTGTCCTTTCATTGTATTTTTCTTCTTATGAATTGAATGCAATTGCTTGATATCACAGATGGTCCAAAAGTAATTCAATAGTAATTCAAATAGTAATTCAAGGGATGCATGTATACTTTCCTTCATGTTGTAGGTTCTCCCAACAGACAAATTCCATTAGACAGAACTCTCTCTAAACAAATATCCTAGAGGAGAACACAGGCAACACCCTTTGTGAACTCAGCCACAGTAACTTCTTGGAAGATACATCCACAAAGGCAAAAGAAACAAAGCAAAAATGAACTATTAGGACTTCATCAAGATAAGAAGCTTTTGCACAGCAAAGGATACAGACAACAAAACTAAAAGACAACCTACAGAATGGGAGAAGATATTTGCAAATGATGTATCAGATAAAGGGCTAGTTTCCAAGATCTATAAAGAACTTATTAAACTCAACACCAAAAAACAAACAACCCAATCATGAAATGGGCAAAAGACATGAACAGAAATCTCACAGAGGAAGACAGACATGGCCAACATGCACATGAGAAAATGCTCCGCATCACTTGCATCAGGGAAATACAAATCAAAACCACAATGAGATACCACCTCACACCAGTGAGAATGGGGAAAATTAATAAGGCAGGAAACCACAAATGTTGGAGAGGTTGCGGAGAAAAGGGAACCCTCTTAAACTGTTGGTGGGAATGTGAACTGGTGCAGCCACTCAGGAAAACTGTGTGGAGGTTCCTCAAAGAGTTAAAAATAGACCTGCCCTATGACCCAGCAATTGCACTGCTGGCGATTTACCCCAAAGATCAGATGCAATGAAACGTCAGGACACCTGCACCCCGATGTTTCTAGCAGCCATGTCCACAATAGCCAAACTGTGGAAGGAGCCTCGGTGTCCATCGAAAGATGAATGGATAAAGAAGATGTGGTTTATGTATACAATGGAATATTACTCAGCCATTAGAAACGACAAATACCCACCATTAGCTTTGACGTGGATGTAACTGGAGGGTATTATGCTGAGTGGAGTGAGTCAATTGGAGAAGGACAAACATTATATGGTCTCATTCATTTGGGGAATATGAATAATAGTGAAAGGGAATATAAGGGAAGGGAGAAGAAATGTGTGGGAAATATCAGAAAGGGAGACAGAACATAAAGACTCCTAACTCTGGGAAATGAACTAGGGGTGGTGGAAGGGGAGGAGGGCGGGGGTTGGGGGAGAATGGGTGATGGGCACTGAGGGGGGCACTTGAGGGGATGAGCACTGGGTGTTATTCTGTAAGTTGGCAAATTGAACACCAATAAAAAATAAATTTATTATTAGAAAAATAAACTTCAGAAAAATAAAATATTTTTTGAAATAATTCAAAAGAAAAAGAAAAGTTAGTTTTTGTTCATGAGTCAAACTGTTACTTAATATATGAAGAACCAGGAAAATGTGATCAACTTTCAAGAGCTGAAGCCACACCTGAGATGATCTAGATGCTTAGACTATTAGCCAAAAACAGCTATTACAATAATACTCAATGATGCAAATGAACATAGCTCACAATAAACAAAAATAAAGGCATCTTAGTATAGAAATAAGTCTTTTCCTTTTTTGAGAGGAAAAATATTTAAAAATAGAAATTTCTATCTGAAAAATATTTTTAAAAAATTTATTGACTAGGCTACATTGCATAATGGAGATGATGAAAAGAAGTCAGTGATTTGAAAATAGATACTAGAAATTATCCAGTCTGAAGAAGAAAAGGGGGGAAAAGATTGAAAAAATTAACAGAGCCTGAGGGATCTCTGAACAATGTGAAAGTGTCTGATATACAAAGAATTGAACTGTCAGGAGGAGAGAAAGAGAAATAATGAGGAAGAAAATATTTGATGTAATAATGAATAAAATTTCCCAAATTTGGTGAAGACATAAATTTATAAATTCAAGAAATTCAGAATATGTCAAATAGGACAGATTCAAAGAAATCCATGCTTAGGTACTTCATAGCCACACTGCTAAAAAACCCAAAATAAAGAGAAAACTTGAAAGCAGCTAGAGAAAAAATGACAAATCACCTACTGAGGATTAATGTTTGAATGATCACAGACTGCTCATCAGAAAGCATCAAGACCAAAAGACTGGAACATCTCTAAAGGACTAAAAGGAAAAAATTTGCAAACAAAATTCTACACCCCCAAAAATATCCTTCAAGAGTCAGTGTGAAATAAAGCTGTATTCAGATAAAAGAAATTAAGTAAATCTGTTTGCACCAGTTCTGCACAAGAAATGCTAAGAATCATCTCTCTACGATGAAGTGAAACAGTGCAGTGGGAAACTTGGATCTTTAAGAATGGGTGAAGAACATCAGAAATGTTTATTTCACCCAAACTATACCTCAATAAAGTTGAGTTTTAAAAATTTCAAGGTAATTTTCCAAGGAAAGTTCTGAATGTAAACCACTGCCACAATTGATATCAAAGGCAGAGACAAGAATGTGCTCTGCTGCTAGAGAATTCTCTCTCCTTCATGCAGTGCATCTAGCCGGCACTTAGCAACAGATCAAAATATTTGCATGGCTTTTGCTTTAGCCAGGAATACCTTTTTTTTTCCACCTTCAAATACTGTTTTGTGTGATCTAGAGCTACTTCAAACTATAACAACAACTACAAAAAATACCACTTAAAGATACCCAAAGTATCTTGTTCATCATTGTAAATGTCTTGGCTACTGTACTACAATTTCAGAAATCAAATTTTACACACAAAACTGGGTCAATTGATTTTTTTCTCTCCACGGTATAAAGAAAATGAAATAGAAATATGTTGATCCCTTAAAAGTGTCATCCCTCTTAGTTCAATTCAATCCTGATAATTCCTTGGAACAAAAGACTTTTCAAAACTCCTCTGCATTTGACATAACTACTCAATGAAACACCTGATCCTTAAGTGGATCCTGTACTAGAGAGGAGACATTATTGAGGTCAACTGACAAAATGAGAATGGGAATTGCAGAGTAAAGTATCATGCCAAGGTTAAATTCACTAAAGATGATAACTGTAGAATATCTTTATTCTTAAGAAATGCTTAGGTTTAAGGAAAAAGGGCCATAGTATATGTATGACCCTCAAACGTAAGTATACACATACATGTAATAGACACAGAGAAAGAAAATAAATCATAAAGCAAATGGAATAAAGTGTTACCAATAGGTGAATCTATATAAAGAGTATACGGGGTGTTTTTGTATTACTTTTATATTTACAACTATTCTCTGAGTTTATATCATGGATGGGATAAAGAACTGTGGAGACAATCCAGACCATTGGTGGCCATTGGAAAAAAATGGCTGATTCTAAATCACTTATTACAAGCCACTATAAGCAATTAGAAGGATCCAGAGAAATGTTATAGACATTTAACATCCAATACTCTTTCCTTGCTTAAGCACTGTAGTATGTATTCCTCTTGCTTCATATTACCTAGGACGCAGTTTTTAGGTCTACAAAGAAGTACATGTAGAGGGGGAAAATACATTTTTCTGCGTGGTACTTTTCTAAATATTCTCTCTCTTTTCCTATCTTTTGCTCTCTCCTTGCTCCCTCCCCAACTCACTGCTTCCTCCCTCTCTGTGTCTCCACCTCTATCTCCATGTTTCATTCAGTCAGAACTAGGAACTCAGAATTGAATTGTTGGTCTTAAAAATACTTACACAGGCACAGTTCTTGTCCTCTGTGAAGATTTTGAGGGGAATGCTTTTTGGCTACTCCTTCTCTTTGGCTAGCATGATGTACCTAATCGAATTCAATAGCAACCCAAAATAGAGTAAATTACCTTACTTTTAAATCGATTTATGTTGCTCATATTTTCAACATACTTCGTTATTTTTAAATGCATATAAATAAGCTCAGCAAAACCAAATTTTGGGTTGGAAGGAAACATGCAAAAATATTTCAGGAAAATAAACTGTGACTCAGAAAACAATAGATCATGTGAGATTTGACCAGCAGATCCAGTCACCAAAGCTTTCCTGCCTAGACCGGAGGGCCTACTAGCACCTTCCAATGTAGGAATGAGAAGTTGCTTTGAGCATTACTCAGTAGAGTAAGCTGCACTTATGGAAATTTAATATATGTTTTGAGAATAATGTTAGCTATAATCATGAGGTTGGAGAGTGGGGGAAGATGAGAGTGATAACCAGAATTTCATCAAAAATAAGCAATATATGCATGTAAAGGAGAGCAGGTTATTTGTAGTAATGGCCAGGGTACAATTAAATAAGAAATTATTGGAGGATAGTGTAACAATTTCTACTAAGGGGAGGGAGTATAGTTTGGGGGCACTGCTTTGAAGAGATTTACATTTTTTCATCATGGGTTAAAGACTTATAATAACTATACTGACAAAATACCTTTGAAGGTAAGAACACCATTTTCCTTTTGTTCCGAAGAACTGCAATTTAAAAAATGAGAACACAAAAATTGAGGAACGTACAATACTCCTACTAACATATTAAGATCACCATTCCAGATTAAAAATATCAGCAGCCTGTTGTTAAGGGATGTGGATGTATAAATTGTACTTCCCTTAGAGTTGGGCTTTTGATGGACTCCACTCTTTTGTGAGTGGTATTAAAGAAATGGGAAGTAGATCCTAAAGTGGAAGAAAAGTTGATTTCAAATCTGAAAGCTTAATTGTGACTATGTGATGCAAGCTATGTGATCACGGGCACGTTGTTAAGCACTTTGATATTTAGTTTCCAGAACTGGAAAAGGGTTAATTATAGCTCAGAGTGTTCCTGCAGCTGCAAGGGCTATTTGGATATAAAGAATATTACCATTCAAATTAAATCATATTTAAGGAATTTAGCATTTTGATGGAACTGTCTTGGCTCAGAAACAAGAATATCTTTTTAGGAAAAAAACACCTGTAATATTTTTATTTCTTTATACATATGGCAGATTGTAATGTTAAATTAGTTCCTAAAAACCTTATTCTTCATCACTGTGATCTTCTGAGAAAGATCAATCCACTGATGCAAAATTACTAGAGATCAGTATTTTCTCTGCTAAAAATTTCACAGCATTTAATATCCAAAGTTGCGAATGTCTTAAGGCTCATTCACACATGGACTTATCACTTACCAGCATTTTTTTTAATTGTGGTAAATTACACATAAAAGAAAATTGACCATTAGTGACCTTTAGTACATTCACAGTTTTGTGCAATCATCGTGACTGAACATTTTTATCAACCCAAAGCAAACATGTGTCTATTAAGCAGGCACTCTCCCTTCTCTCCTGTCCCTAGCTCCTGTACCACCACGTTTTGTATATTTGTTGATAAACACTTGGTTTCTTTCTTTCTTTTCTTTCTTCTTTCTTTCTTTCTTTCTTTCTTTCTTTCTTTCTTTCTTCTTTCTTTCTTTTTTCTTTCTTTCTTTCTTTTGCTATTGTCAACAATGATGCTACAAACTTTTGTGTATCAATTTTTGCATGGACATAAGTTTTCCTTTCTCTTGGATATGTGTCTGGAGGTCATATGTAATTCTGTTTCACTTATTGAGGAGCCATCAAACTGTCCACGGTGGCTGCCACATTCTATATTTCTACCAGCAACACTGCTCCCCACCCCCTCCATTATCATTTCAGGACCTGTCACACCAAGAAAGTAGAATGCCCATTTAGTGTCCCAACCTGCCTGGGTGCATAGACACAGCTTCTAGTTACTCATGCCAATCTGCAGAACAGTAATAATAATCAGTAACAAAAGCATTAGGTGCCAGGTGTTGTTATAAGTGCCTTCTATGTATTTATACAGCTTTTTAACTAATGTAACATGTATAAACGTGGCTTCCACATTTTCCTCCTATTAGGGGAAAAAAACTATCTTGGAAACTCCCTTACCAAAGACTTTATATATTCCCATTTGAAACTATTTCCTTCCATTTGCGACCTGGAGAAGACATTAAGCAATGGGAACTGATGATCTTTATGGAAAAGAAGACCTGCAGAGAGGATATAAATACATGTTTCTTCCCAATAAGCTTTGAATTTTCACAAAGTCAACAGCTGCATTATAGGATTAATAAATTAACAACTTGTAAACATTTTTGTTGTCTTACCTTTATGATGACCTGTGAGATTTTGGTGGAGTGGGGTGAGGAGAAGAAAGCAGTGTGTTAAGTGCAACCACGTAAAACAGGAATGAGGCTTGGGGTGTGGATGTTTCAAACAGAGATGCAAGTGTGGCATGATCCCTGTAAACTCAGAGGTGTCTGCTCAGGATATCCAGGGTCGAGAGCCACATTCCCCATCCTCATGTCAGCCTAAGAATGTGTCTTACACAACTAACCTCTACTCAATGGAATCATATTTTTGTTTTAGATCGTCACCAACTAAGATAATCTGTACACAGCAATTCAGGCAACCTAGTATTCAACGACATGATCAATTTATTTGTATAATTACATACTGTTGTTAAGGGAATTAACTTGGGAGTGTAAAAGCAATTTTTCAAATTTAATTGGACCCTTTAATAGTACTTGCTCAAGAAATCTATTCTGGTGATTTAAAAATGCAGATACTCCCTGGGAATCAGAGGGCAGGATCTTGGAGAGGAGACCTTGAACCTCACTCTGTTGATTCTCCTTCCACATAACTAGAACACCTAACTCCTCAAGTGGCTACTAGAGCCCATTTGAAAAACCATTGATCAAAACTGGAGGAAATTACTCCAGTAGTTCCCACTATACATTATCTACTTGCTTCCATGTGATTATAAGCACCTTCTTAGGCCGAGTACAAGGCAAAACAAGTGTCATGGGAGGTCTAAAACTGAGTCACCAGCTTGGTAGACAATAGATTACAATGTTATCCTTTTCAAGCCATGTAGATACAGGACACCAAGCCATCGGTCTTACCTGAAGGTGGCCACGAAGTTCACCGTGGGCCAGCCCAACACAAAGGACCTCCCAGAACGGATGTTGGCATCTCCCACTGTATCCATGCAGTTGGCAATCCACATGGTGTTCAGTGGTATTTTCTTTTTTATCTTAAAGTTTTTCTTATACCTAGAAAGATCCCAAACAAGACCTCAATTAGTTCATTTCAAAAATGTTATGGGAGCAGCTGTGCTCATTAGAGACCAGTTCTCACTGCTCCAGGGCAAATCATGTCTCCCGCATCTCTATTACCCTCTGTGCACACACAGCAAATGGTTAGATGGGCCTTTGCAACGTGTGTGTTGAGCAAACTCTGGCTTGGAAACCTGAAAACACTTACTCTAAAGGCAGCAAATAGCCATATTTTTGAATGGTGAGTGTTGAGTAACCACTGTATATTTTAGAGCTTTGTAGGAAAACCATTAATTCATTTGCTATTGCTGGATTTGTTACTTATTACACATAATTTCATGGCTATTATTGCAGTTAATTATTCATTTATGACTTGCATACTTCAAAAAGTGTTTGAGGGGCTGAACAAAGGTACCTGATACATGACTTATAAAAATAGTTATACAATTTTTTTTCTTAAGAGAGACAAACCAGGGGCACCTGGGTGGCTCAGTTAAGCATCCAACTCTTGGTTTTGGCTTGGGCCACGATCTAAGGCTCTTGAGATCATGCCCCTGTGTAGGGCTCCCCACTCAATGAGGAGTCGGCTTCCTCTCTCCCTCTGCTCCTCCCCCACTCATGCTTACTCTCTCTCATAAATAAATAAATAAATAAATAAATAAATAAATAAATAAATAAATAAATCTTTTAAAGAGTGTGAGGGAGAGAGATGAAATCAAAACAAAAAAATAAGCTTGGATCAGAAAGATAAAAGCTACTTTCAACCTTAATTTAAAAAATATTTTCTAGCCTTTAAAACATAGGTTATTTTCAATTTCCATTCTTAAAATTTTGTCCATACCATTTTCCCTTAGATTCTGGCTAAAACAAAAAAATTGTTAGCCTACAGACTGAGCCCAACTGAAAAATCATCCAACCATCCATCCATCTGTCCATCAATCAATCCAAGATCAGTGGTCTGGAGGTCTTATATGTAAGTCATGGATACTTCCCATTTCTCTGAGGAGTAAGAAGGGGTGAAATGGGTTTTTGATAATTTCTGCCTAATCTTCTTTGACCTCAAAGATGAAACCACCATTGATTTATTTTGATTAATTAATGGATTAATTTGGTTAATTCATAACTTTGACTCGCAGGTGGGCTTGAGATTTAAATAGTTACAAGTTCTATAAGGAATGCCTGGGGAACTTGGATCCTCCACTCTGGAACTCCTTACTATTCAGAAACACATGTGGAAAACACTGAACGAAACTGAGATGAAAGACACTTCATGTGCAAAAATCCCTATGACTCCACTGATTCATGGAACAATTAGAGCTAAACTCTTCAGTGGGATTTCTGAAATAAAAATAATCTTTTAGGAAGCCCACTTGAAGGATACTCTAGATTCAAAGCTTAGGACACAATGAATATAAATATGATGGATACCAACATGTTTCCACATTTTTTTATTTCAACATTACACCCAAGTGCCTGTATCTGTGTGCTTGAAGATTTTTATGGAACATAGTCAATTAACAGATAAAATCATTTATCTAGATGGTAATTCCAAAGGCATTGTCACGTCAAAAATATATGGCCAAGGGGAACGATAGACAGGTATCTGCTTGTTTTTACAGATTTTTTTCTTTCTTATATAGGTATCTGTGTATATACAGACACCTAAGATCCTGTGTGGAAACTTCCAAATACATTGACCTGAAAAAAGTCATCCAATAAACTTAGTTCAATAAAACACCAGGATTAGTTGAACCAAGGAATTATCCTCGAGCCCGGTGTGTGGTTTCTACTCTCCTATAACGTTTTGAACACTTATCATATGCCAAGCTCTGTTCTAAATATTTTATAAATATAAATATAAAAAATTTAATCCTCAAGCAACTACACTAGATGGTCTCTATTAGCTCCATTTTACAAATAAGGAAACTCACAGAAAGTTTAAATAAATTGTCAAATGCAGGAGACGGGGTTTGAACCCGGACAGCCTAACTCATAAGCCCATGTTTGTAACCACTTGACCGTGAAGTAACCTTTTCATCTTTCCTACCCTCAGCCTCATTTCTGTCCCCAGAGCCATCAGGCTTTATCATGGGATTTATCTTGGGAGTGAGAGGATAAATCTCAAGGCAGTATATTAATAAATCCAGTTGCTAGCTTGGAAATATTTAAAACGTGTTACAACAAAGCTTTATACTTCAATAGATTCTTCTAAGGTCTTACTGTGTTTCTTTACTCTCAATCACTGACCCAATTGGATTATCTCAGCAGAAATTAGAAAGTGTTAATCTACTGTAAACTGACTCAAGAAGAAGAGGAGGAGAACTGCAGTTTTTATTTGTAAAAATAGTCATTTATTATAGTTGTATTAACATGATGTCCTTCTTGGTTTCCACTACCTTAATCTTTATGCCAGAAGGTAAGCTCCAGTGAACTGTGGAGTTTTGCAGGATTCTAAGGAGATTTCCTCTGTTCTAAGATAGAGGCATTCTCTTACAAATGTTGGGAGCAGGGGTCATAGTCTATTCTGTAACTATTCGTCATTTCACCGACAGTGAGTTAATAGTCATCTTCATCTTTTGACCAAATTAAATTCAGTTTTTATTTCATTTCTACATTCCTTAATAACTCATGATGAGGAATGTGATGTTTAAAGAGGGTGTGAGCTAAGTTCAGTCCCTTTTTCTAAATTCTTCACGGGTTTCTACTAGTACAAATATCTTAATATTTTATCAAATAGATACTATTCTCTCTTTTTTAAAGATTTCATTTATTTATTCATGAGAGACACACACAGAGAGAGAAGGCAAAGACATAGGCAGAGGGAAAAGCAGGCTCCCTCTGGGGAGCCTGGTGAGGGACTTGATCCCAGGACCCCGGGATCATGACCTAAGCCAAAGGCAGACACTCAACCACTGAGTCACCCAAGGGCCCCAAGTAGATACTGTTCTTAAAAATAAAGTAGTTTTTATTTTAACTTTTAAAGTACTTTAATTATTAAAGTAATTTTTATTTGAAAAATAACTTATTTAGTATTCTAATGAATATCAAAAATGATAAGGAAGGTTCCATTTGACTTCAATTCTTGCGAACACAAGTTTCTAGTGTATGAAAGAAGTGACAAAAATCCCCCCAAAAATTTCACTATTATTAACATCTTGTACAAGTAGAGAAATAGAATATCTTTGTGAAGAAACAAACATTTAATTCCCCTCATTATTACACACAAGCCAAAATTCACTAATTCTGACCGAAAAATAGGTAGAAATTAATCAACTATTTATTCAATTTCTGTTAAATTCTGTAGTGTCAACCTAAAGATGAGAGAGTCTCCAGCTGAAGCCTGAGGGTGGGCTGAGTTAAAATGGAACCTGGGTCACCCTACCCCCTTTTTTTTTAATTTTTTTATTTTTATTTTATTTATTTATGATAGGCACACAGTGAGAGAGAGAGAGAGAGAGAGAGAGGCAGAGACATAGGCAGAGGGAGAAGCAGGCTCCATGCACCGGAAGCCCAACGTGGGATTCGATCCCGGGTCTCCAGGATTGCGCCCTGGGCCAAAGGCAGGCGCTAAACCTCTGAGCCACCCAGGGATCCCCCACCCCCTTTTTATGGCTAATTGGAAAAATTAGGCACTAAACTCAGATTGTTCATTTGAATAGATTGATTGAAGGTATTGATTCCTCCATGTAAGACCAAGGCATGACAGGGATGAAAGATGTTGGTTATTTCAGGGGCTATTTCTTTTTAGTTTTTTCCTTCTAGAAAAAAAGGTAAATTTTTTCATATGAACAGTGATCATAAATATACCCAAATATTTACTATGGGAATGATCTCATAGTAGTTTTCTAAAGACTGTAGCAAGCATTAAGTGCTGCTTGCTACTGCTATGGATGAAATTGTGTCTCCCTCTTACTGCTCACCCGCCTTCTTACCAGAAAGCCCTCTCTGCCAGTATCATCATGTTTGGAGATAGAGCTTTTGAAGGTAATTAAGTTTAAATGGGATCATCAAGGTCAGGTCCTAATCCAGTAAGATGGATGGTCTTGTAAGAAGTGGGAGAGATCTGTATGTGTGTACATACATGCATTGAGGAAATGCCTTGGGGTACACAGTGAGAAGGCAGCCACATGCAAGCAGAAAAAGAGCTCTCACCAGAACCTGACCATGATGATATCCCAAACTCGGAATTCTAAAAATCTGTGTTCTCTCTATATCAAAGACCTTGGCTTAAATATGAAATTCAAATGCCTGTGATCACTTACATTTTCTAATATTACCAATGTATAATATAAAGTATATAAGATAAATTTTTGGGAACTGAGTCTCTTTCAAAGAACATTAACAAATAAATTGATAAAGATTTTGTCACATAAAAACCCTTGAGTAGACATAAGGGCATATCTCAAAAGCAATATGTGAAAGATGAAAAATGTTCAACTTGTTCTGTCATAATGAACCATTCGAAATAAAAATTCAGCCCTTCAATAGATGCAACTCTCTAGTGGAAAAACAACACTATCTTTATATAAAAATCTTTTTAGCAGAACATCGTAGGCTCTGTAAAACCCGCTGAGAGGTAAGCAGCACCCAGGACAATAAATAGTTCTAGTAAGAAAAGGAAAGTCATCTCCTCTCCCTAAATGCTACAATAATTACAAAGATGAAAAAAAAAAAAAAAGAAGAACATATTCCCCTTATAAATTGAATATGAGTGGTCTGCAATGTCCTAACAACCAGGAAATGAGTTTGCTATTTGTTAACATGTCTCTTGGGCTAAGGATGGAAGGGTACAACATGGTATGGGAGGAAGAACATGGCCTTGTGATGAAGGCAGGCCTGGGTTGGAATCTCTTGCATGATTTCCCTATGTATGACTGGACCATTTCTGAGACTTCTTCTGTCCCCATTTTCATCTCTGCAGCCTGTGGATGATAAAAAATATGGCCTTGGAGTGCTGTGAGAAAAATTTTCTTTATTCATGAGAGATCCACAGAGAA